GAGCCTACTGGGCAGGCCCGCCCTCTCACTGCGGCTGCTCATGACTGGACACCCCGATGGAGAGGGACGCGTCTCTCGGTGCGCTGCCCGCGGGACCCACGACAAGAGATGTACCGAACCAATCGGGCCGGGCGAAAGCGGGGGGATAGCAAAGGGGGGGGTTGAGAATCAGCTCGCGTAGCTGATTTTTCCTGGCGCCTCCCGGCGCCAGAGGCGGCTATGTACCGAGGAATAGGCCCCTCGGTGGGGCCGAAACCAGCTTCGTGCAGCAGATTTCGTACCCCCCCCTTTCCCTATCCCCCCCCCCTTCGTCCGGCCCGAACCATGTGCGCGAACACTGCCGATCGAATGGACCTGTAAACTCGGCCTGCTGGAGCTCCACTCGGTGGTTCGGCTTCCGGATGCCAGATGCCGCCCCCTCTCACTTCCCCCCCCGGGCCGTTTGGAAGATCTTTGGGGCACAAGGATTCGCTATCCGACTCCCCCCGTCCCTGGCCGACTCTGACCGGCCGACTGGCGACTCCCCGACGGGCCGACTGCGGAGTCCGGAAAGCTCGCTCTGGTGCCCCAAAGATGTAGATGTTCCTTCTCCCCCGGGCGCGCCGCCGACACCTGTGCTCGGACCCCAGTGGGGGAAACAAGAAGATCTGGGCGTCGCTTACTGGGGGGGGAGGGGCGATACATCGGGAGGGGAGACAAGGCAAATGTTGCTGCCATCGTACTTACGGACCATATCCCAGACATAATTTCGACCACCCGGAAGAGTGTCGAAAGAGTGTCGGACGAGCGTCTCCCAGGGCCTAACTCGTGGAAACCCTCGAGTTTCGGTATTTTTTCCCTGGTGCTCGAAATTCTGTCTGGTGATCAAGGCTAAAGTAGTGAGGGGGCCCAAGGGCACACAAATACATACACACAAGTAACATGATCCCCAATATGTTCCCACATCTTCTGGGTTCTTGTCTCCCCCCCCACTTCCCATATGTTCCCACATTCTCCTGTTAGTCGACGATTAATTGTGTCTGTGCCTGTGTGTGTTTTTTGTTCCCCTCCTGCAGTAGGTTCGAACACCACACGACAAGGTGCGCTCCTCGGGCCCTGGAGGCCTCCGCTGGGGCCCGACAGGGCCCCCTCTCAGGGGCCCCTTCTCATCAGCCCTCGCTGCCCCAACGCTTTTCGCCCCCCTCCCTCCCTCCATCCCTCCCTCCCTCGTCTCCCTCCTCTCCCTCCTCTCCCTCCATCCCTCCCTCCCTCGCTCCCTCCCTCCCTCCCCTCCCTCCCCTCCCCCCTCCCCCTCGGCCCTTCCCTTCCTATCCCGCCCCTCCCTCCCCTCCCTCTCCCTTCCCGTCCCTCCCTCCCTCCCTCCCTCCCTCCCTCACTCCAACCCTCGCCTTCGCCCCCTCCTTCCTCCTCTCTCTCCTCTCTTTCTCTTTCTCTCCTCTCCTCCTCCTCCTCCCCCCGCTCCTCCCACTTCTCCTCCTCCTCCTCCTCCTCCTCTCCCTCCTCTCCCTCTTCTCCTTCCTCCCCCTCCTCTCCTCCCCTCCCTCCCTCCCTCCCTGCTCCCTCCAACCTCCCCTCCCTCCTCTCCTCTCTCCATCTCCTCCCTCCCTCCCTCCCCCCTCCTCCTCCTCCTCCTACCTCCTCCTCCTCCTCTTCCTCCTCCTCCTCTTCCTCCTTCTCCTCTCCTCCTCATCCTCCTCCTCCTCGCTCCTCCTCCTCCTCCTCCCCCTCCTCCTCATCCCCTCCCCTCTCTCCTCCTCCCCCTCCTCCTCCTCCTCCTCCTCCTCCACAATTACTCAATATGAATACTACTCTCCATCTTCCCCTGATGACGGCTTGAAAGTGTTAGCCCCCCCCGCGTACTGTTTTTTGAACACAAGATTCCCCGGAGTTTGGTTTTCGCATGTTTTTTTTCAAAAATGCTGCTCTCGCTGAGGCGCCGGCCTCATTTTCGGGCCCCTCTCGTTCCGAATCGTGCTCCCGCTGCAGCGCTGGCCTCATTTCCGTGCTTCCGCTCGTTCCGATTCGTGCTCCCGCTGCAGCGCTGGCCTCATTTCCGCGCTTCCGCTCGTTCCGACTCGTGCTCCCGCTGCAGCGCTGGCGTCATTTCCCGTGCCATGCCACGGCATGCAATGCAATGCTAGGTTGATACTACGCTTTGCGGTGCTCTTCTACGCCATGCCATGCCGTGCTCTACAATGCATCGCGTACCCTTTCGGGATCATTGCCCTGCTCGACATCCGACTGTGCGAGTAGAGAGGGGATCTACGCCATGGTAAGGGATGGGAGGGAGGGGTAGGATGTCAGATATGACGCGAGCGCACCTAGCTTGTCCTCCTCCCCCTCCTCCTCCTCCTCCCCCTCCCTCCCTCCCTCCCTCACTCCACCCTCCCTCCAACCCTCCCTCCCTCCCTCCCTCCCTCCCTTCCTCCCCTCCCTCCCTGACTCCCGCCTTCCCTCCCTCCCTCCCTCCCTCCCTCTCCTCCTCCTCTTCCTCCTCCTCCTCCTCCTCGTCTTCCTCCTCCTCTCCAGATAGGAAGGCGGATAACATAGTAGGATTGGGCCCAAGCCCTCCCAGATGGTAACAGAACACAGCACAAGCACATCGATTCTTGAAGTAGGATCAAGTTCTGGGATCTGGGAATCCCAAAATACCTACTCTCAACGACCGACGTGTGCTCTGGAATAGCATGTCAAAATGTAGAGACCAAACACACATACCCTTAAGGTTGCGCCTGAGAAGCAGATAAGGCCGCGGAGCGGGTGGGGAGTGGGGGGGGGGCAGGGCAAAACACCGCTCGGAGCAGGGCGACTTGAGACTCGGGGATCAGCTGACCCGGGTCAATCCAGACCCGGGTCAGTCGGGCTCCGGAGGATCCTGCAAGATCCCGCAGGATCCTGCGGGATCCTGCAAGCGGGACCCTGCACCGAAACCCGGTCAGTGCACCCCTTGCTCTGCAGGATCCTGCAAGATCTGGCGCTCTGACTGACCCCCTTTTGCATCGTCCCCCGTCTCTTGAGCCCCAGAGGAGGAGGAGGAGGAGGAGGAGGAGGAGGAGGAGGAGGAGGGGGAGGAGGAGGAAGAGGAGGTGGATGATGATGATGATGATGATGATGATGATGATGATGATGATGATGATGATGATGATGATGATGATGATGATGATGATGATGATGATGATGATGATGATGATGATGATTGATTATGATGATAGAATATGCTGTGCTGCTGGTGCTGATCTGATGCTGATGCTGATGCTGATGCTGATCTGCTGATGAGATGATGATGATGATGATGATATAGATGATGATGATGATGATGATGATGATGATGATGGGTGATGGTGATGGTGATGGTGATGGTGATGGTGATGGTGATGGTGATGGGGATGGGGATGATGATACTGATGATGACGACGACGATGAGGAGACGGATGAGGAGGAGGGGGAGGCGGAGGAGGAAGAGACCACGGCAGCGCAAGATCCGGGACCAAGGCTCCCTCCTGGGGTCCAAGGGCCACCCAGCTCTGTCCGAGCTGCGCCCTGCCGTGGCCACGACGGGACGCCCCACGTCCGGGAGGCCAGCTGTACGATGCTGCCATTGCCTCGGCTCGCTTGCCTCCGATCGGCGCCGAACCCCGGGGGGGGGGGGACGCGAGAAGGGGCGGGCCTTCTCGGCTGGGCGCGACCTCGTGGGGGGCGACAAGAACGGAGGGGGAGGGGCGGGGCCCTTTCCCGGGGCCCAGGGGCCTCCTCTGGGGCCCTGACGGGCCCCGGTGGGGCGCATTCGTGGGGGGCGATCAGGTGTGGAGGGGGTGGGAAGGTGCCCTGCCTCCGGCGCCCTGGCAGGCCCCTTCTTCGGGGGCCCGAGGGGAGCCGTGCTCTGCAGCCCGTTGGCTGCTCGCTCTGGGGGCCTTCCTGGGATCCCTCGCTCCACTCGTGCGTGGAGGCTGAGCCGAACATCCGTCGACTTGAGCCGACCTCGAGTCGAACCTGAGTCGAACCGGAGCCGAACTTGAGTCGAACTTGAGCGAACCGGGGTCGAGCCAGGAGTCGAACAGATCCGCTAGGTGGGCCCGAGGAAGGTCCCCCAAACGAGCATCTCAAGCCCCCGCTGCAGAGAAGGGGGCCTTCAGGGCCCCGGGGGAGAGGCAGGCGGGGCATCGGCGGCTCCAGAGGGGGGGGGAATTGCAAGGAGTGCGGCTCGCAGCGCGCGCCCTGGGGGGCGGGCGACGAGGAGGAGGAGGAGGAGGAGGAGCGCGAGGACCTGGACGGAGCTCTCCCCCGCGCCCCCCGACGAGGCCCGACGAGGGCGGCGCGGTGCCCCCCAGAGGCCCCGACGGCGCAGAGCGCAGGCCGCACCACGGCGTGGCCGCACCCCCTGCGGCCGTCGATTTGGACGCCCGAAATGGGCACGGAAAAATAGGTACAATGCCCAACACCGCCCAGGCCGTCGGCGTCGCCGTCGAGAGTCCGTGGCTGTCGTCGGACGAGGAGGGGGAGGGTAGGTCTCTCTCGCAGGGGAGGGGGAGGAGGAGGAGGAGGAGGAGGAGGAGGAGGAGGAGGAGGACGGAAATAATGGGTACAATGCCCAACAACACATGTTGTCCCAAACCAACAGCCGCCGCTGTTGGGCAGGCGGCCTTCTGTCTCGAGTGGACACAGGCCGCGGCGGCGTGGACAGCGAGTCCTGTTCAAAATGAGCAGGAACTGCTGTTGGGCATTCTACCCATTCTTTCCGTACACATTTGGGGCGTCCAGAGTCGAGGGGCGGAGGGGGGGGGGCGGCCAGGCCGGCGACGAGGGGGCGGGCCTTCTCGGTGGGCTCGGTCCCCCGGTGCCTCCCCGAGAGGTGCGCGGGGCCTTCCCCGAGGATGTAGCAGAAACCACTTCTCGGGAGCCCCGCCGCCCCCTGGGAAGAGTCCTGCGTCTTTTCCCCCCCTCGCTCGCCGCCGAGAGCCACCATCGTCTCGACTCGCCTTCCGCCGCAGCGCGCGCGGCGCCTGACGTCCTCGACAGCAGCATGTAGCCATTGCTCTGGTCAAGGATGGCGTAGGTGCCGTTGTTGTGCGGGTCGTTCCTGCCGCCCGGGGGGCGAGGCTTCCCGATCAGAGGCCCCAGGGGCAGGTGGGAGTGTAAAACGTCACGGCCTTCACTGATGTTTGGAGATGTTTGCTCTCGCCATCGTTATGGTAATTTCTGTCGCGTCTGTCGCCGTCGTGCTTCTCTTTACGTGTGTGTTGACGTCGTGGTCGTTCCCGTCAAGTTCGTCCTCGTCGCCAACGTTTTCGCAATCGAACTCGTAATGTTTTCGCCGTCGCGCTCGTGTCCGTCGTAGTCGTGGCTCTGGGGTGCCCCTGGGGGGCTAATAGAGAGGAGCCCCCGGAGGGAGAAGGAGCAGCAAGGAGGGAGAAGGAGCAGCAAGGAGGGGGAGACTGTAAGGTACCCAGAGATCCGACGTCGTGACTTTTTCCATACGGAGCCCCCGAAGTCTCGACCCCTTCCCAAGGCCCGTTTTACATCCCGAATCGTTTTTTTGGTTGACGGTGCCGGAGCCCGGCGAGGGCCGTTGGAGGCCGAAAATTGCTAAAATGACAGCGTCTTGATCTGTTCAATACGTTTCATCGGAACACCAGCAGGACACCATCGGGACGCCACAGGGCCACTGCTGGCCAATACTGGGACCAGAAACGTTTGGTTCGGCTTCGCCCAGGTAACGGCGTGTTCCATCCTCTCGCCCGCCCACGCAGCTTCGCCTCGCCCGCACGCGCGACACAAACGTGCATCCGAAACCAATGTCCCAGTGAGGGGGTCTCCGTTTCACTGCGATGTCACCCCCCACCTCCTATATATTATATATATTATATATATTATAATATATATATATATTATATATATATATATGGTACCCCCCCCCGCAGGGGTCTACCTTATTATGCCTCTTCACTGTTCGTCCTCCTCCTCCTCCTCCTCCTCCTCTCCTCCTCCTCCTCCTCCTCCTCCTCCTCCCTCCTCCTCCTCCTCCTCCTCCTCTTCCTCCTCCTCCTCCTCCTCCTCCTCCTCCTCCTCTTCACTGTTCGTCTCCTCGGTTCCCGCCTGAGAGGTCCCCAAAAAACGCGAAGAGGAAGAGGCTCCCGCCTCAGAGGTCCCAAAAAAACGCGAAGAGGAAGAGGCTCCCGCTTGAGAGGTCCCAAAAAACGCGAAGAGGAAGATGCTCCCGCCTGAGAGGTCCCAAAACAACGCGAAGAGGAAGAGGCTCCCGCCTGAGAGGTCCCCAAAAAACGCGAGGATGAAGAGGCTCCCGCCTGAGAGGTCCCCAACAAACGCGAGGAGGAAGAGGATCTCGCCTGAGAGGTCCCCAAAAACGGAATCAAATGGAGGCTCCCGCCTGAGAGGCCCCAAAGAACCCCCAAAAAACCCAAGAGGAAGGCCTCTCATCCCTGCAACTGTCCCAAAAAACAGAAAACAACCAAAGCTTCAAAGGAATATGCCGCCCTTGCCAACAAGGCTGGAGCAGCGGTGGTGGTTTTCCTCTGGATCTTTGTTTTTTGTTTTTTTGAGACATTTGCAGGGATGAGAGGCCTTCCTCTTGGGTTTCTTTGGGTTTCTTTGGGGCCTCTCAGGCGGGAGCCTCCATTTGACTCCGTGTTTTTGGGACCTCTCAGGCGAGATCCTCTTCCTCCTCGCGTTTGTTGGGGACCTCTGGGTCGTGCTTCTGCACGCATCCACTGGGGCGCACTCGTGCGCTTCCTCTGGGTCGTGCTTCTGCACGCATCCACTGGGACCCACTCGTGCGTTTCCTCTGGGTCGTGCTTCTGCACGCATCCACTGGGACGCACTCGTGCGTTTCCTCTGGGTCGTGCTTCTGCACGGAGCCACTGGGACGCACTCGTGCGCTTCCTCTGGGTCGTTTTTCTGCACGTATCCACTGGGACGCACTCGTGCGTTTCCTCTGGGTCGTGCTTCTGCACGTATCCACTGGGACGCACTCGTGCGCTTCCTCTGGGTCGTGCTTCTGCACGCATCCACTGGGACGCACTTGTGCGCTTCCTCTGGGTCGTGCTCCCGCACGTATCCACTGGGGCGCACTCGTGCGCTTCCTCTGGGTCGTGCTTCTGCACGCATCCACTGGGACGCACTCGTGCGCTTCCTTTTGGGTCGTGTTTCGACACGCATCCACTGGTACGACTTGGTTTGCTGTCCTCGTCGTCTCCTCCGCCCCCTCGTTCATTCTCTTCCATTTCCCTTTCATTTCTTTTCCCTGTCTTCTGCTCCTTCCAAGAGGGGAACAGCGAGCAGCAGGAGGAGAGCAGCAGCGAGGAAGGATGGTGGTGGAGGATGATGGTGGTGGTGATGGGGACGGTGATTATGATTATGATTATGATGATGATGGTAATAATGATGATCATGATGATGATTGTTATGATTATGGAGAGGAGGAGCGAGGAGCAGGAGGAATAAGGAGCGAGGACCGAGGATACATTAGGAAGTCATTCTAGCACGCTTACTCCGAGCAGACCTGGTGGCGGATTCTGCATTGTCGCTTTGTCCACCGCACTTGTTTTCCCGTGGCAATCTCAAGGTGCAGAAACAGTTCGCGGTGAGACTAGTTTCGCCCCGCCGCTGCTGTCGGGGGACGTTCGGGCATCGTCCCCAAAAAGGGCAAGGCTCGGATGGTGCTCAAGCGTCCCTCTGCTACCAAGACCAAGGACTGGAAGAACGTGCCGTACGTCAGGGAGAAAAACGCGACGCCTGGCAGGGGCTTGCGCCGCGAGCAGGCAAAGTGGAAGCGCACAGTCCCAGAGCTCTTGGCGGCGTCTGACGCGGAGATCATGAACATCTTGCTGGAGGACAAGCTACTCGTTGATTGGACTGGGGCGACTTGTCCTTTCTGCGGGCGCGGCAAGCTCGGGGAGTTGGCAGCTCGCCCGCACAAGGGCGATCGCTTCTTGCATCGGTGCAGCGCGAAGGGCTGCCAGAAGCACGTGTCTCCTGCCCACACGAACCCAATCTTCAGCGAGCACTCGACGTCCGAGAGCTTGCAGAAGCAGGCCGTGGTCATACTGGCGAAGCTCACGGGGACTTCCCACGCAAACACCCACATCATGTTCGACGTCAACCACAAAGCGGTGGAGCGGATTTGGAGCAACGTTGAGCAGGCCCGGAGGATGTACGTGGAGGACGTGGAGCCGACCCTCGAATACAGTGGGCCGAAGGTATGGGCAGACGTGGAGGCTGACGACGCGACCTTCGACAAGTTGGACTTGACCGACGGGCCCGAGCCTCTGGGAGACCCAACTCACCCCGTCATGTGGGAGCAGTGGTTGGGCATTGTGCAAGGCGGCAGGCCGCGCACGCTGACACTTACGAGATTGTGCCCCGAGATGGCGAAGAAGCGGGCGCCTGGCCCTGGGGCCGCGCGCAAGGTAGAGCGGAAACCCCTTGCGGAGCGCTGGCTGAAAGACCGCGATGTTGTCTTTCACACTGACTCGGCGCGTTCCTACAAACTACGTGTGCCCGGAGTCATTCACGACTTCGTTGTTCACCGGAAAAAGTACAAAAACGTCGGCGGCAAGAAGGTGCTCATTCCCCCCAGGTACGTCGAGCTGAAGACGCACGTACTCCCGTCGGGCAAGCACCTCAAGGTCAAGAGCGGCATCCAGATCATTGACCGTGCGTGGAGCTTCATGAAGGACCGCGTGCACAGGAGCGCCAATGCCAAGGCAGGAACCAAGCTGCTCGCCACCAAGATCCGCTCGGCCCAGTACGACTACTGGCACAAAGACGACGACATGTGGGCCAAGACGGGGGAGATGGTGCAGCACATCATGCGCGACGTGCTGACGGCGTGATCGGCCCGCGGCGGACGTTTTGGCGTCGACGTAGGCAGTGCGCCCGCACTGCTCGGGGAGTTCTATTGGCACAATGACGCGACATTCGAGTTACTTCGGTGCGCATGGCGCAACAAATTATGCGCAACGTACAGTATGCGTGATCGGCCGCGGCAGCCGTATGGGCGTAGACTTAGGTAGTGCGTCTGCACTACGTCGGGGTTCTGCCATGGGTACTCTTCATTGCGTGCTTCTGCACCTAGAGGTTTGTAGTTCAAAAAGAATGCCCGCGGGTCCTGAAACCCAAACGCATCGCACTGCCAACGGGTCCAATCATCTCACCGCCACCGCGCCATCGGAAATTCTAGCATACACTGTCAGCACAATGACAGGAACACAACATCACATCATCGCTTCGCTTGGACGCCGACATATTGAACGGTAGACCCCTGCGGGGGGGGGTAGCATATATATATGTATATATATGTATATATGTATATATTGAGAGAGGGTGAGAAAACGAGAGAGAGAGGGAGAGAGAGAAAGAGAAACAACAAAACAAATATACATGTATATATATATAGAGAGAGAGAACCAGACAACTTAGGTAAATAAATATTAAGAAAGAGAGAGAGAGAGAGAGAAAGAGAGAGAGAGAGAGAAAAAGAGAGACAGAGGAAGTAGAGAGAGAGAGAGAGAACCAAAAAAAAAAAAGGAACACAAAATTCCCCAATCCGTGCTTGCACTGAAGAA